ATGATGCTACTTTGATAGCTGAAAATGCAAAGGATCTGCAACTTGGTATAAAAGTCAAAGTGTGCATTGAAAGAATGGGACTAAGATTTAAATATTAAGGAAACTAAACTAACAACAACAGATACAACCACCAGCCTTAGAATTGGCAATGAAGATACTGAAATAGAAAATCAATTTAGGTTCAAACAAGCAATTGAAATTCAAACTTCTTAGAGTGCCAAAGTGAGAAACACTGGTCTATTGGGATAGGAATGTGTCATTTTTTCACTTCCCACCATGAAAAATTTGAGCAGAATAAATATCTGAGAAAAAGTTAATAAAGCTAATGAATTAATTGCTTTATACTATGACAGTCTACTCAAGTCTTCTATTCTACAGTTTAGTTTGTAGATTATACTTATTCTCCCCAGAATCAAATTTCCGAAATTTAGTAGGTGGGAAAATAGGATAGGAAGGACCAGGAAATGCTTTTCCAAGATCTTTTATAGTTATTTCATTGCTCATGCTTCAGTGAGTAACTAAAACTTGGCTTTTTAATAAACTTTCTTCTACAAAAGTTTATTTGCTGTTATTTTCAGTTTTATGTAGTTGGGGAATAATTTTAAAAATTCCCTAGTGGCTGTTTTATACCTTTTTAAATAGTCTGTTTCTCAATTTGAAAGGTATTAGACATAAAAGGTAGGATAGAAACACTTTAAGAAATAAGCATAACAACTGATTCTGCCCACAGAATGAATCATACTGTTTTCAGTGAATGCCTTGGACAAAATTGAAGTCATATATCCTCATTGTCAGAGCTGGCTAGTTCCACAATCTTAAGTATATGGTTTTTTAACTGTGTTAAATAATAAATCTGCCAGAGTGCAAAGAGGAAAAGGATTCACACAGTGCAAATTTACTTGAGTGGCTGCAGAGTGCAGATCTGCCTCTAAGCATTAATGGAGAACAAAATGGTAAAACATGAAAGTGCCTCTTTTTCAATAGTTTTGAAAACTATAACATTACTTTAAAAGGGTTGAGTTGCTTTCATTCTGGCACAAACAAACAATTGCTAGCAATGTGTAAGATCCTTAACTCTAACATCTGATGACAGGGATGATTTTAACATTTTAGAGGTGTGTTAACTAGTGCAATCAAATGTAGTTGAGGAGGTAGACTCTCATACTGTATATACATCTTAATGCTGAGCTAAATGCAATCTAATATTCACAATGAAGAGTTTTATTGTGTGCTGTTTTTCTAATAGCTACAGCTAGTTTCATGGATATAATGTTTTTACTTTGCTTCCAAATGCAACTTAGTTTTTGCTATTTCATTTCTGTTAAAGTAAGAGCTTTGCTAGCAGGGTAGTGTTAAAAACATAAAAACAGAAATATTCTGGTATCTGAGTATTACTATCTGCAAAGACTTTTTAGAGTAACTAAATCATCCTGTAACTCCCACATTCAGCATTTCAATTCTTTTGAGGAGACTCAACAAATTAGTTTACCAAGTTAGATGGGGGGGGGGGGTGTCGATGCATGGATGCATAGAGAAAATATGAAAAATGGTTTATTTGTGTTATCACAATTATGGTTAGCAAAGTAATTCCTCAAAGTAGCTTAATGCAAATGCTTAACATAGACCAATGAAAGAAAGAATGTGCCAAAAACAGAGCCCAGACAGGAAGCAATAAACAAATATTCAAAGGGTGATTTTCCAGGCATAGATGTCCTCCCAAATAAATCCTAGGTAAGTCTTTGAGTCTTTAAAAGAATTCTAAAAGAACTACATATTTTTTTTTAAATGCTAAACCTCCTTCACCCCTCAATTATTCTTATTTAGCCATATTTTAAGAACAGTTCATCTTATTTAAGAAATTGTCCTTGCATCTTATCTATATCACAATTTTTATAATAAAAGTTAAGAGTTTCTTTACAGTTGTAATCCCACTCCTGTCACTTCTTTATTCTGGACTGGACAAATCATCTTTTCTCTCTGTGTCTCTCCTCGTGTTCTACATTTCCTATTTATACTGAATTAGTAATAGAAATCTACAAATTAGGAAATTTTGCTTCCAAAATGCTAAATAGAATACTATTACAGAACAGCTGAGAAAGTGCATATTCATAAAAGCAGATTGGTCCTTATTGCCACTTAATAATAATAATAATAATAATAATAATAATAATAATAATAATAATAATAATAATAATAATAATAATAGTAAAGTTGGAAGGGACCTTGAAGGTCATCTAGTCCAACCCCCTGCTCAGGCAGGAAACCCTATACCATTTCGGACAAATGGCTGTCCAGTCTCTTNTTCTCCTTAGTTCTAGATTGCTTCTCTCCTTGATTAGTTTCCACCCGTTGCTTCTTGTCCTGCCTTCAGGCGCTTTGGAGAATAGCTTGACTCCCTCTTCTTTATGGCAACCCCTGAGATATTGGAACACTGCTATCATGTCCCCCCTCGTCCTTCTCTTCATTAAACTAGACATACCCAATTCCAGCAGCCGTTCCTTTAGAAAGAAGATTCATGCATTTATATTAAAACATTTAAAACTTTTTTGTTGGTCCTCAAAGCTGACAATTCAAGGCACTCTGAAGTTCACAGCGTATGTAAGTCATTTGACTTCACTTCTGATAAAAAGTTTCAGTGATCATTCCTAAACATGTATTTCTGTTTCCAACCCTAATAACTTTTACATACATACTGTATATACATATACAGTATCTGCTATTCATGCTAACCAAGAAGATAACCTTTTTAAAAAGTTTGCTATTTCTCTTTGGGTATATTTGCAGTGTGACTACATTATAACCAGAAAGGAAATTTAATTTTTCCTTATTATTTTCTTGCATTTTATTCTCTTCAATCTCATTGTTGGTTAGATTTCACATTTATGAGATTCAATTAAAGCCAATTATTTCTACTGGCAATCTGAAATATATGTTAATTTTTTTTCATCAAAGGCAATCACTTTACACCTCACATCTTTTCAAAATATTGATGGCTTAACATTTTTATGGTGAAAAAGAAAAATGAAAAGCTTTCCTTGGTCTCATGGATATTATATCATCCTTCTCAATTACTAATCCCAAATGTTGTCTGTCTTTAATAATAAAATTTCCAGTGCAAACTACAGCTGTAGGTCATTTTTTTCCAATTTCAAAATAAGAAGCAAAGTATGAATGCTCTATATCATATCCAGGTCCCAGTTCAGATTGATTCCCTCATGCTGGCAATTTGTGAATTTCTTTGAGGAAAGGACATGTTTAATTTAGTCAGGGTATCTGGGTAAGAAGATCTATTCATTAAGCTTGGGTAGCTGTCTACCCTAAAACATTTCATACTGCATTCATTCCTATTTAAAAACAGCAACTGTGAGAGGGACCTTGAAGTCCTAATTTGGCTGAGCCAGCAGTGTGCAGCAGCAGCCAAAAAAGCTAATACAATCCTGGGTTGTATAAACAGAGACATAGAATCTAGATCACATGAAGTATTAGTACCGCTTTATAAAACCCTAGTAAGACCATACCTGGAATACTGCAGCCAATGTTGGTCACCATATCACTAAAAAGATGTTGAGAGTTTGGAAAAAATTCAGATAAGAGCAACTAAGATGATCAAAGACCTGGAGACTAAAACATATGAAGAATGGCTACTGGACTTGGGTTTGGCTAGTCTAAAGAAAAGAAGAAATAGGGGAGACATGATAGCAGTGTTCCAGTATCTGAGGGGCTGCCACAAGGCAGAGGGGGCCAGGTTGTTCACCAAAGCACCAGAGGGAAGGACAAGAAACAATGGTTGGAAACTGATCAAAGAGAGAAGCAACCTGGAATTAAGGAGAAACTTCCTGACAGTGAGTATAATTAACTAGTGGAACAGCTTGCCTCCAGAAATCATGGGCGCTCCATCACTGGAGATTTTTAAGAAGAGGCTAGAGACAGCTACTTGTCTGAGATGTATAGGTTCTCCTGCTTGAGCAGGGGGCTGTACTAGAAGACCTCCAGTCCCTTCCAGCTCTATTCTATTCTATCTTAAACACCCTTTTCTTCAGTCATTGTTGATTGCATTTCCCAGATTCCCTCTCAATATCAGATATTCTTAATCAGAATTCATATCAGCATCATGAAATATGTTTATAATATTGAAAAGCTTCAATTAGTTCTAACCCCATCAAAACCCAAAAAATAAAATAGAGAATATGACCAAATCACTGTAAGTAAGTGTACTTCAGTGCATAGCCTTTTCCCAAACCATTCTGAGCCTAATAATATAAATTCCTGTTTTTTTTTGTAGTTCTATTACTGAGATTCTCAGTTAAAACATTGTGAAAACAGTTTTCGAAATATATATCTCACGGTACTGCAGTGGCAGAGTGCTGCCAGAATAATTTCACTGAGATGTCTGTCTTTATAAACTGATGCTGTGTTACTGCCTAAAGGTAGAAAAACTGATCTTTCCTAAAATAAATGATGGGAATTATTATCATATCAAATATATGTTATTTACAACCAGCAGAAAGTCACTAGTGTTTTTCATGATCTTCTTCCAAATATAGGTCCATAAATGGCTTGAACTGTACTATGAATTTATGGAGATCTGCAATCTCAATATATATTCATATTCATCTTCATATTCCAACATATCTTGTGTAGGAATGAGACCACCAACCAAGATTTAGATCTTCTGAATCTCTCTCTCTCTCTCTCTCTCTCTCTTTCTTTCACCCTCTTTTGTTACAATGTGACGTGGCAATGGGAAAAGAAAGTCCAGTTGAATCACAAGGCAAACATTTAAGATTTGCACCAGAACTGTGTTGTCCAGTTCCTAAATCCAGTGTTTATACCTCAGAAACATTGATCCGTCCTTCTTGAAAAGAGCATGTTGTTGGATCATGAGTGCACAGGTTTCGATATTTACACCAGTGACAGCGAAAGGCACTGTTGACACAAGACAGGCATCTGCCAAGAAAGGAACATAGGCAAATATGTTTAGTATTGATAATGCCTGATAAATAACAGTAAGTCAGCAAAATTTTATATATTTGCTTAAACAGAACAAATATTTCATTTGAAAACAGTTTTCAGTTTCCATGTAACAGACATACAGTAGGTGTCTTTAAAATAAATACTTGGGTGAAAAAAATGAGTTTGTCAGAATCTCTTAGGACAGATAAGAAGAATTACCATGTTTTCAGTGCATTTTGCCTAAGACAAGTGCCTCTAAACCAAAGCCATTAACTTCACATAACACAGGTTTCTGGATTTTGGGGTTTATTGCAAAGATCTTTTGTTTCAATATATTGTATCTTAGAATCTCAACAGCTAAGAGAATTTCACGATTCAGATCTATCAAATTTATTAGGTTGCCAAAGATATTCTCTAAAGCAGGGGTCCCCAACCCCCGGTCCGTGGACCAGTACCAGGCTGCGGCATGCCAGTAACCAGTCCACACAAACAAGAAAAGCCCCATCCATGGGATGCAAGCAGCACACAAAACCACGTGCCCTCCAGTCCGTGGAAAAACCTCTCTCCACGGAACTGGTCCGTGGTGCCCAAAAGGTTGGGGACCTTTGCTTTAAAGTTTAGGCTCTGTGGTATAGATATAATAACACCTGATTAATACAAACAATGATTCTCTGATATTCCAGTTAAATCTATTTCCAATCTGGATCATATCCTTTGGAATCTTAAAAGTCCTGTGCAAATAAAAAGGCAAATGTTGCTGATTTTTTTTCTCTTTAGTCTAAAGTGTTTATGAACTGAGCCAGATGAAATCTCAAGGTACTCAGCCTATACAGATGACCTTCCTAAACTTCTTCCCCTTGTGCTTGGATAGGACCAAGTGAATTAATTCTATTCCATCAATATTGTATATCAAATTTTAATGGATATGTTTCATATAACGGAAACATTTAAGGATGAAAAGTGTAGTGAAAATAGAATGAATAATCAGACCTCTGCTTTCTGATCAGGGGATCAGAAAAGAAGTATTTTGATGAAAACACTAGATGGGGGGGGGCATATGGTAACACCCTTAAAATTCATGAAGGCAGTTTCCAATGGAATATTACTCCAAACACACAACCCCCCCCCAAAAAAGAGGACCAGTGAGAAGTGATGAGTTCAAGACTCTTCTCCATTGCATGTACACAAAATAAATCATGTCCAAATACGTTATGGATTAATATCATTGGCTTAATATATACTTGTTTAGCTTTTAAACACAACTAATTCTTACCAAATCAGGGAATGTTTACTAGATTAATTACAGGGACCAGTTTTCTCCAAATGACAGCTGCAAGATTTTGATCCCCCCCCCCCCATTCCTGGTCTTCTGGTTAATAAGTCTGAGTTTTGTAAGGGATTTTAGTATCTCAAACAGATAATTCTTCATTTTCAAGTTACAAAGTTCAGTGAGCGTCCCCATCTCTCATTTGCAAGACACACACCCTGTTTGTCCAACTTTAATCCTCAACTGCAGTCTGCTTTTTCTTTTTCTGAAATGACCTTAAAAACCTATTCTAATCATAGACATGCAAATCTAGTGGATAGAATATTAAGCAGCATGAATGTATTTAATTACTCACTTATTTGACACATTTCTCACTCTTTCTTGTTCTCTTGACAGGAATTTGAATGACACATGCTCTTTAGTTTCCATTTCCCAAATCAAAATGAGTTTTTATGATCTTAGCATGCAAGTGTTGCTGTTAGATACTGATACTGAGCATATAATTTTATTATATGGTGCACTGAATAACATTTTCTATTATGAGTTGGAATACCTTGGAATACCTTGTTACACTTAGAATGGCCATTGTTTAGTAGAGTTCCTAGTGTTAGGAAAGGAATTTTTTCTCATTACCTCAGCATAAAAGATTAATTACCTGTGAAATTTTACTTTTAAAGTTTAGTCTTTCAGTAACTGAAGGTTTAGTGAAATACCAGTAATTGACACTGAAATGACAATGCAGTTAAAACAAAACATAATCTATTAATTTATACTTATGTTATCTATTTATAGCAATCATGCAGAACAACTTTGAAGAAGCTTAAATGTTATTTTAACATCACAATACTGTGATTATATCATAGAAGAGTGTCTTTGGAATCTAACCATTTTTCTAATAACTGTATTAGATATCCAAGTGATACATAAAAACCAATTATCCTAACAAACTAGGTAACTAACCATTCTTCTTTATGTAAATACTAGTGAATCCTAGCTAGTAGGTTCTGTGCTTGGATATAAACCTTTTTATACACAGTAATTTTGCAGTTCTTGCTGCAAAAACATAGGCAAAAATCTCTATGTAACTGTAAAGCATTTAATGACAGAAACATTAAACGATATCTTACAGCTGGTGGGCACTGCAGTTGTAAAATTTGAACTCTGTGCTGACAAACATCTTGCCAGTCTCTCTGGATTTCAACAGAAGCTCTATGCCAAACCAGTCTGGGGGAAAAAAACAAAGAAATTATTGAAATAACATGCACAAGAATAATGTGGGCCTTTTACAGATGTTTTACGCATTTTTAAATTATCTTTTAAGTCCTATTCCTTCATCTTTATTTACTGATCTTTTAAAAGTATTATTTCCCAATCCTTGATGGGATAGTTGCATTTATTTTCAAATAAGGCAGGATCAAATTAATGTACCTCTATGCTAGGCCAATCTATTTTACTGGAACAATCTGTGGCAACATGTCTGTTTCAAGAAATGCACTGGGTTACACATTTCCAGTGCTATAACACTGGTTTCTTAAAATCTTCCAATCAGAAAATAATGCTGTCTTTTGAACTCTAAACCCTAAAAATCCTGAAGCTAATAAACCAAGAAGCCAATTATCTTCCTATGTTTTCTCAGTATCTGTAAGGCGAGTACTCCATTATTCTACCAAGATAACCCCAAATTTGAAGCCATAGGGTTATGTGAGAAACACTAGAAAATATAAACTACATTTCCTATGCCAGAGGTTTATATAATACTGTAATCTTGCCTAAAATTAATTTGATATTTTGTGGATCATTAGTATGGGAAACCTAGCTGTTCCCTTAACATTCTGAAAAATAGTTAATAATGTTAATCCATTTTAACATTATTTGCTTGGGCATAGTATGTTATGCACAAAGTGACTATGCTATGTTAAGTACAGTTTAGTGCTGCACTTCTTGTGTGAAATAAGACAAGAAGTTGCTCATACTTCCATATCCCAGATTTTTTTCATGTTGCCTCAAGAATATGGGAATGTATGGTACTGCTAGAATGTTTATAATGATGCTTGAAAATTGATAGGTATAATCTTGAATTTTAACACCATATACCTATGACAGTACACAAAGAAAGATATTCACAGTGGTTGCTACAAAATTATAGGAATCTATTCATTTGAAAGTGCAAAATGACTAATAAAGGCGATAATAATTTTGAAGAACTAGGGGAAAACTCAAGAAGACTGATGTCTTTGAAGCAGTGCTTGAACAACTGAAAAAGACTGAAAGAGATAGGAATGCATTAATTAAATTGAAACATAAATTTACACTTTCTCTGCCGAGTTCTGTTCAAATCAGAAGCAGTTATTGTAATGCCATCCAGTGCCAGTGAAGAAAGATTGATGGAAATTGGCTGACAGTGTGGTAGGCAACACCTGCCAATAACCATATCTTTTGAAATAGACAAAAAGATTGTTTGCATCTTGAAATTTTATGCCAGTTGCTGATCTCTGTTATCTTCCCTCCAGGTAAAATGGCACATAGCCATGACTGCCATGAATTGCATTCACTTCCTTGTAGCCATTTGCTGGCATTTCTGCTCTACACACTGCCCAGATCTTTCGTGAACTTCTATGGATGCTTATTAAATACTCTCCTCACAGGAAGAGCTACTTGTAAATGAGACAATGTAAAAAATAAATTTCAAACAATTAGCTGTTTGGTAATAGTATGAAAGAAATCTTGATAGCAATTATATTAGTGAAGAAAGAATAAAAAAAAAATAATGGAAACCTTGGCCCACTCATGGGGAGTGAGTCATACTTTAGAGCATGAGTAACACCCACACTACCTTCTTCTTTTCCCTGCTCACATAACAAAAGATGGAGACCCTAATGATAGGTAAGCTTAGCAAGCAGATGGCTTGAAGGCTGGCTTTTAAATGTGTGGGGTTTGTGCAATCTGCTAGAAGCAGATTACACCTACTATGCAGAAGGCATAGATGTAGATGGCATTTTTCTTGCCTGCTTTTAGAATTAAAACTTTGTCCAAAATCAAATAAGTAATAATCAATTCCTTTATGAAAAGCATTCCTAATATAAAGCAGTTTTAGAATGGAAATTAAAGTGAGCAAATAACATGACAAAACATTGCCATAATACAAACTAGAAGTCCATCATGGTTATTCATATTTTATTGTTACATGGAAAGCATATACTTGCTTGTAGACAGCATTATGGCTGAAACCACAATGTCAACAGAGCACTAGATATTCAGGATTAGGCCCACCAAAAAACTGCCACATCCACTTAGACAGCACTATTACAGATCCTAGTAGCTTCAACCATTCCTTTATTGAATTGTAATCATGTGATATATAGCACTACTTGGATACAATGCCCTACTTCAGTTTACATTAGACAAAATGATTTCTCTCTATGCAAGTAGCTAAAAATATGACATAAAAGACGCAACATTCAGAAGGCAGTTGGAAAATATTTGAGCCTTCCAGGGCACTGTGTTGATGAGTTTGGTAACATCACCTTTCGGTGAAAATGATACAAAGAAAGATTCTAAGGTAAAGTTATTCAATAAAGTAAATTCAATTTCAATTCAATTCTGTGCAATACATAGCTACAAAGGTAATACTGAAGCTAGTGTCAATAGTTTGCTCATTTCTTACTTGGTTCTGCTATCTTGGCTCTGAGTAGAAATGTCAGGGAGATACTTGTACTTATTGCATTTCATGAACTTTTGGCTCCACTTTAAATATACACATTTCCAATTCAGGTAATACGTCATGTACTAAACAGTGACATTATAGTTTATTTTCTCATTTTTAGTCTGCCTTAGGCTGTTTTTAGTCCAGGCTATTTTATTTTAGCTACACTCTTAATTGCTTTAGTTAATATTATATGTTGTGGGCCATCCAGAATGTTGGAGTGGGTGGCTATAACAAATTTAATGAAATAATAATATAGAGTTCTTCAGAGCAGCAATGAGAACTAGGGAACTCTCAGATTTCCCAGTCAGCATGACCTATATCTCTGGAGATCTAGAATATGCAATCATGGCACATCTGGCACATACCATATTTAATGTATACATTGTGAAAATATATGCTGTAATAAAATTATTAATGTCTAAAATGTATGTATTCTTAGACTTTTTAAAATAAAAAAATGGAAGATAGATGACCCTGGTGGAAAAATTCAGGATCTGTTATCTACGCAAAAGAGGCTGAAACATTTTTTAAATCCAGGAATACAAGATAACATCTAAAAGCAACTTAGGTAGAAACATTCCTAATTCACTGAGCTAGAAAAAGAAGGAGGAGATACCATATACTCAGTCTTGTACGACTGATCTCAGCTCCATTAGACAGACAAGATCAAGAAGTCAGCTCCATAGGAAGGCTAAAACGATTTTTACTGAGATTAGCAATAAGAATAGAATCATGCACATCTGATTGTAATAGCAACATTTTTGACAGGTGTTCCACAAGTTAATGGGTGCTACTTTAGAGTGCCTAAGAGAAGACATGAGGCTAATATTGGAGAAGTCAGTATATCTAAATCAATTCCATAATGCAGACCATCATTACCCATTCTTCTAATTCTTGCTCTAAGTATCACAAGTTTACCACTGAGAAGCCAGCTCACCCTGGTCCACAGGTATGGCAGGGACATCCTTAGAGGATGGAGAAATACATATAATTTGGTTCCCCAAAACCTGGCCTTCTACTTCAGTGAGGTTTCCAAATACACAGATTATGCCAGGTGACAGATCTGGAGCATCATTCACCAGCAAGCTGAGCTATGGGGAAAAAAATGAAGAGAAGAGGCATAAAATAGAAGGCAGTATGCATATTTCTTTCTATATTGCAAGAAAACCACAGCAAAGTATTTAAACTTTTTTTTTAATCATTATATTTCAGTTGCAATTGCTTCACTGACCTAATACCAGAGTTAGATTGATCTAGTGCACAGGTGTCAAATTTGATTGCATCATGTGACGTATTGTGACTTTTTTGCCTTTGTGGAACTGAAGTGGGCGTGGCATGTTGTGATGCATCTGGCTCGTGGGCGGCCAGTTTTGACACCCCTGGTCTAGTGATTAAAGCCCCAGGCTAGACACCAGGAGACTGTGAGCTCTAGTCCTGCCTTGGTATAAAAGTTGGCTGGCTACTTTGGGTCAGTAACTTTCTCTCACCCCAACCCACTTCACAGGGTTGGTGTGAAGAAAATAGGAGGAAGAAAGAATATTAGGTATGTTTGCCGCCTTGAGTTATTTATAAAAATAATAAAGGCAGTATATAAATAAATAAGTTGAGGTGGCATTTCTATTATAGCATGTAAGACCAAGGCTTCATAAGATAACTTCTTCACTTTTAATTTGGAAACTTTTGCAGGTGAACTATTGGTTGAAATTAAAAAACAAAATGGAGGTAGATCAGTAAAATATTTCCTTGGGGCCTATCCTCACCAATATCTCCAATCAGTATACAGTAAAGTCTTGATATACCAGACCATTAAAGAAAAGGTTTGGCCATTAAATCTGAATTGATGTAATTTGTTTATAATTACATATGTAACATTTTCCCATAATTTGTGCCCATTTACCTCATTAGCATATACAGAATATGTTATACAGAACTTGGCATAATTTAGGTATTTATATCCCAAAATGATTGCCCCCAAACCCATTCACAATGGTATGCAAATAGCTAATCAGCATTAGCTTATTAATGGACACCTCAAAGCATTGTACTTACAGCTGAAAGTTAACATGTAATAGTTCAAACTGTTTTTCTATGAAATGGCTATGAAACCAGTCTTGCCTATGTAATCATCAAATGGAAGAGAAAATAGCTTGTTTCAAGAGTTATTTGCTTTTTTACACTCTCAAACATCAGTGAAAACCAGAATGTACTATATTCTATTTACTTTTGCTCTTTTTAGAATTCCTCAAACCAGGTCTCATTTAAAAATGTACAAATGGGAAAACTAGAATATTTGTATTGCGTTAAAAGATAACACTTCCAAAATATATGCATACCAAAGAAAGTAGGCTTTTTCAACAAGTTACACTCAAAGAGAAATACACCAAAACACAAAACAAAATTAATTTCTTAAAAACTAAAAGCCAAAATTCACAATTATGTGAATAAAGTTATTTTCAGGAATTTGAGACATGGAATTAGATTGTTTTAATCTGCATTATAGGTAGTCCTCATTTAATGAGCACAAACTCTGTTGCTAAGCAAAACAGCACATGACCACTAGTCTTACAATGTCAGCTCTGCTGCAGTAACTAACCCACAGTCATTAAATAATACATCACATGGCTTCTCCATTGACTTTGCTTGTCAAAAGCTGGCTGTGAAGCATGCAAATGGCAGGCATTAAGTACCCATATAATTTTACAAATCTGAGGCAGGAAATGTTAGATAAAATTCTTTTAGTGGTAATATTCAAGACTAGAGGAGATCACATCCTCTTGGTAACAGAGACAATGATCATAAGAAGCAAGCAATTACCTGCCTTGGCTACCTACCGGAAGGCTATGCTCAGAAACTGGGATGCTGCTAGGTTGAACAACGATAGTCATACATTGGTTGATGCTGGCTGCAAATCGGAAAGGTTCATTGGCTCGCTCGCATTTGTCCCTCCGTGAACATCTGAAAGCAAGTGTATAGGACAGTATAAATATATAGCAGGTATATCCAAAGTTATTTCTATAATCTAATATTCTCCTTCCACTGGTAACTTTTATCCCATAACACTAGAAAAATGATAACATTTATGGAACAATTGATCCTCTACCAGCACTTTATGATATACGCTGCATTTCTTTTAAGCATTAATCTTATTTTTGTGAGTAGTAGGCAGGAGAGATTGCGGAGTGTACTGAGCCATAATACAAGCTTCTCAGCAGTGTCTTATTTACAATGCCTTTCACTGTTTACTTGCTTTCTTAGTTTTATATAATCATTACTAACCACATGTTATTTTAGATACTTTCATAAAGTTAAATGGATTAGTCACATCTGGCCTTAGTTTCTAACAAGGGAAAGTGCTATCAAATAAAGCAGTAATGGCTCAGCTGTAAAAAAAACAACCCAAAATAAAGAAAACAGTGGCCAGTAAAGGTCGCTATAGAGTCAGATTGTATTTTTATTTTTATTTGCTCCAGTTGTTTCTATAGAGCTTTAATCAGAGTTAAGCTTATTAAAGGAAAAGTTTTCAAGACATCAAAGTTAAGTAATAACTATTTTTATATTGTACATACCATATCTCAGACATACATGGATATTTAAGCTTCATAGCTGGGTAGATCTTTCTGCTAGAATATGCTGACTTTATTAAAGACCCTAGCTACCATCAGGTTGATGGCTTGCTTGTTTTTCTAATTCTATGGAAATACAGTGGCACTCTCCAGGTTTAAATAGATTCTTGTTCAAAACTTTGTTGAATTTTAGGGCAGGAGTGGGCAACCTATCCCACTTTTTGCAATTCTTCCAAACATCATGCTGCTGAAACAACAGCAACTTCATAGCTAACACAAACTATAAAACAAACACTATAAGATAGATCTCTTCAATCCTATCTCTGTTATCCTTCCCTTTTCTCTTCAAAAGAAAAGAAGAAATTGTGTATAAACATTCTGCCTTCACCAAAATAAACACACATGGGCCCACATGCAAAAAATGTTACCTTCCTCTAGTGACGAGAAATTCAATTGTTTAGTACATAAACTTCTCTTTATGAACTTGAATCCAGATCTGGTACATGAGTTATAGCTATTTTCAACAGAGAAAATAGATGGAAAGGAAGCAAGTGATTTTAAAGCTTTCAGGCTCTAAGGCAGTTATTCTCTAAAGACTTTGGCACCCTTAGCTGGGAACAGATTTTCCAGAGAGATAATCACATTTTGAAAGATTATCTGTGTTGAAGCTTAAACTGGATCATTATCACATTCTGCAAATTTTGTATGTTAATTGCTTGAAAACAAGTTCTCAGTCATGAAATTGAATAGATGCAATTGGGTTCTTGCCTACAAGTGGCCAATCATCATTCCTAAGCATTTGATCCACTAGTCATACTTTTTTTTTTTTTAAAAAAAGGAAAGCAGTATACCAGCTACTTTTTAATTAAAAAGCAAATCTATGGTTAATTAAACTCTTTCTCATAAAGGTGAAGGGTCCTGAAGCCCGGATTTCTTCCCTCCACATTGAATGCATTAGATTCACACCTGAATTACTCAGGTGCTGTCTTTCTCCCCCACTGCCTCCTTGATTAGAAGCCATCACATGTCACAAGCTGAGTTATGAGCTCTGCAGCTGGCATGAATTGGACACCTGGCTCATCACCAAAATCATTTCATTGCAGAAAGACCCCAGAGAGGACTGAAACTCTTCAAATCTATCAAGATAAAGAAAAATGTAGAGAAAAGGCTAATCCCTCTTTCTTCTTTCCATTTCCTTCATTATGAGAGGTTAAGAGGTCACTACACTCATGAAGAGTCAACTCTGAGAAACTGCTAGAAGTAATGCTATCCAATCAGCCCTATGGAGCAGGATATAAAGTAATGTATATGGTGAGACTTGACTAAAAGATCCAGCACCAAGCACAGTATTAGGTTAGGGATGGTACTGTCATAAAAAAAGAGAGCTAAGGGAAAAAAAGGAAAGTGGATGGTGAGAAGGTTCCAATTAAGTTATGATACATGCCACAGATCAGGGGTTTGAATGCTTTCCTTTGATGGTTACAAAACGTTTTATTTTTTTATATAAAATATGTATTTCTGATTTGTTAAATATATACAACTATCTATGCCTAATTATATCAATATACCCAGTGACAATTTCATAGTAAAAAGTGATAATACTTTAATAATTTTCCTTTTTTTCTTGATTTTTTTTAACTGCAGCAATAGGGCAGCATAAAGGCAGTACTACCATTGTTATTTCCTTAACCATTAAATTTTAAGGACTGGAATTTCTGTTCCTTTTACTCAGGGCTTAATGTGCTATTATCCTACACCTGCACCTATATAATACCATCCAGCCTTTTTTTCAGTAGGTATTGCTAAAATTTGAGGTAGCCTTATACTTGCACCCTTTTACTGAGTTGCTTCTATGGTCTTCAGTCTTTATCAGTTTGCAGAACAGGAAAAAAAGGTTACTTGTTGCTGGCTGTAGCAACTCTGCATTTTTGGAATGCTCATAAAGGTCTGCTAACCATTTTGTAATTGTAATAACTTCCAAGTAACTTTGTTAATTCGACCAGCTATTAGGCCCCTATGCAGAATTGCAGTGTAGGCTGCAAGGAGACCAATGAATCAGAATAGAGTTGGAAAGGGACCTTGGAGGTCTTCTAGTCCAAGCCCCTGCTCATGCAGGAGACCCAATACCATTTCAGACAAGTGACTGTCCAGGCTCTTCTTAAAAGCCTCCAGCGATGAAGCACCCATAACTTCTGATGGCAAGCTTCTCTAGTGGTTAATTGTCCTCACTGTTAGGAATTTTCTCCTTAATTCTTTTCTTGATTAGTTGCTTCTCTCCTTGATTAGTTTCTATCCATTTTTTCTTGTCCTGCCCTCTAGTGCTTTGGAAAATAAGTTGACCCCCTCCTCTTTGTGGCAACCTCTCAAATACCGCTATAATGTCCCCTCCCCCAGTCCTTCTTTTCTCTAGACTAGCCACACCCAAATCTTGCAACCATTCTTCTTATGTTTTAGTCCCCAGGTCTTTAATCATCTCAGTTGCTCTTCCATAAAACAGCAGTCTCTAGAAGGCTTAGAGCTGTAGGAGCAGAGGGACCACCATCTTGCCCAACCACAGTTCAGAGACTTCAAACAAGCACTAGGTTTACATATTTCCTCTCTTAATCACTTTTGAAAGTTGCTTTTTAAATTGCTTTTAGGATATTAAGATCCTTCGGAAAGGCAAAGCTTATCACACTTGGTGTGTCTCCTTCCATCCTTTCTGAAAGAAGTTTCTAGGTACTGAAAGGATTATTTTGGAATAAACAGCAAAAGGGTA